AGTGTGACAGTGAGAGGCTGTGAGCGGGGCTGGCTGAGGATCAGATGGCAGTGTGTTGTTGTTGTTGTTGTTATGTGCCATTGAGTTACACCTGACTCATAGCGACCCCTCCTTGGGTTTCCAAGGTAATATCACTATGGAAGTAGATTACCCAGATGGCAGTGTGGTGTAGACAAAAAAGCACCGAGTTCAAGCTCAGAACGCCCAAGTGTGACTCCAGCTTCTGCCTCGCCCCTAGTGGAGGAAGCCTGACAGTGTCTCTTGGTCTCTGTCTCTGTGTCACAGCTCAATTGAGGTAACCGACATACCACATCATCTATCCACTTAGAGAACACAGTTCAATGGTTTGAGCATAGCCACAGCATTGTGTTATCACTACCACAATCAACTGTAAACATCTTCTTCACCCCAAGAAGAAATGCCACACCCATCAGCAGCCACTCCACTCTCCTCAATTTCCTTAGCCCTGGCAACCACGGATCTACCTTCTGCATCAACAGACTCACCTGCTCTGGGTATTTTACAGAAATGAAATCACACGGTATGTGGCCCTTGTGGCTTCTCTCACTCAGCATCATGTCGTAGCATGCATCAGCACGTCCTATCTTTACTGCTGAATATGCCCTTTAGTAAGGAGCTCTGGTGAAGGCACTCACTACTAACCAAAAGGCCAGCAGTTTGAACCCACCTGATACTCCAAGAGAAAAAGATGAGGCAGTCTGCTTATGTAAAGACTGACAGCCTTGGAAACCCTCTGGGGCAGTGCACTCTGTCCTCCAGGGGTGCTATGAGTTGGAATCCACTTGAAGGCACTGGGTTGTTTAAGCCCTTGAGTCTCTCTGAGTTTCCATTTCCCCATCTGTAAAATGGCCTCTTTGTGTGTGAATGAAATGTGAGAACGCATATGATGAAGATGTCAATGAATCTGCCTCCCACTGTCCTTCTGGCTAGGAGCTCTGGTGGCATAGTGCCTAAGGCACCTGACTACTATCCAAAAGGCTGGCGGTTCAAACCCACTGACCACTCCTTGGAAGGAAGGTTGGGCAATCTATTTCTGTAGTGATACCGCCTTGGAAACCCAAGGAGGGGTTGCTATGAGTCAGATCTGACTCGATGGCAATGAGTTTGGGTTTTTGGTTTTGGTCCTTGTGGCTTTACCAGGGTAACACTGGCTCGAGGGGTCCTGGTCGCCAGGCTTGTCATGATCATTCTCGTGCTCCCTGGAGAATCTGAATGAAGAGCCATGATCAGGTGGTGATGGGGACTGGAGGCCAAGTCTGGCCAGCCTAAGGAATGGGGGAGCAGGGACCCCAGTAATCAAGGAGGCTGGCCTGGGGGAGAGAAGAGAGCTGGTGTATACAGAAGGAGCAGCCTCTGTTTCCCCTCAAAGCCTGGCTGACTTTCTGTCTTTGTTTCTCAGTGGTTCCCACATCCTTTCACTAAATCCCCTCTTATCAATGGCAGTTGGAGAGAACTTCCCTTCTGTCACAAGGCCTTGCCTAGATGCATGACCTGCTAGGCAGGATGCCTGGTGCGCCAGGGCCCAAGGTGAATGCTGGTCTCTGGATATTCTCACTCCTGCACAGAGGGCTGGGGAGGTCTAGGCCTCACACCCCAGGGCCCAGGCCTCTGCTCACTCTGGCCCCTGGCAGGCTGGGCTCTCAGCTCTGAGTCTCCATCCACTGTGGGGCAGGACTGAGAAGTTAAGTTATCCTTGGCTCCAAAGAGGAATTATTCTGGGAAGTTCTGAGGACAACTTCCTGCTTACATCTTTTGGCATTTGGGAACTGCAGGTCTGACCAGAACTACCGGGTTTCCTAAGCTGCAACATAGTTGGCATTCACTTACAGTCTGCTCTCAAGGAAGCAAGGGCTGGCACACAGAATCTGAACCGCTGTGGGCTGCCCTGACGGTCCCTTCCCTCCCCACCTCCTCATCCCAGGATGGCAGGGGGCACCTATTCCAGAAAGCAATGTGGCTCTCCCAAGAGAAGCAGTTTAGCTCAAGATCAGTGTGTTCCCAAGCTTTAGGGGCAGCCATGTGCTTGCAGGTGAGAGGGGCCTGCAGGGAGCCCCAGGGCCGCAGTCTCCAGGATGCCTGCCTGAGCCCCACAGTGGGCCAGGGCAGGGGCAGCAAACCGGTAGCCCCAGACCGAGGCTGCCTGCCTCCCCAAGGAAATACAGCTCATTTGTCCTCCAACTTGGCCTTGAAATTGGCTACGAATTGCTTGTTGTAAAGACAACAGAGAAGACCCAGCAAGGAGTAGTGGAGAGGGTGTGCCTGGGCCAGCCAATCCCAGCTCTGCTGTGTGTCCACTGGGTGCAGTGGGCAAGTTGCTCAGCTGTGCTAAGACTTGTTTTCTCATCGTTACAATAAAGACACGGGGCTACAAGAGGCAAGGTCAAGTGCTCACAATGAAAGTGTCATTCATGATGATTTAGACCACAACGGCATGTCATTTGGATGTGTGTCACAAAACCATCTCCTGCCCCATGTCCAAGCCTGTTGGAGGGTAAGAGCCTAACAACTAAAATGTATGGGGGTTAAATTCAGTGTTTATCCCCAGTGCCAACTGAAAACTTGCACTCAAGCTCATACACCAGGTAAACCAGACCTACAAGAGGCTAAAAAAGAGTTAGGGGGCAGCATGAGAGAGCAGCTGGTGCTGGAGCTACACTGCATGTTGCAATCCCAGCTCTGCCAGGTGCTGTGTGACGCTGGACACGGGGCACTACCTCTCTGTGCCTCAGTTTCCTCAGCCATTACAATGAGAGAATAATAAAACCCCATTACCAACGAGTTGATTCTGACTCATAGCCCCTACAGGACAGAGTGGAACAGCCCCATAGGGTTTCCAAGGCTGTAATCTTTATAGAAGCAGACTGCCTCGTCTTTCTCCCACAGAGCGCCTGGTGGGTTTGAACTGCCAACATTTCAGTTAGCAGCTGAGCACTTAACCACTGCACCAGGGCTCCTATAATCACATGGGACAGGATGTTTTATTGTCCTACGTTTCACTGCATTTTGTGGACACTGTATTTTTTATCAGTTGAAGGTTTGTGGTGACCAAGGCTATTGTCATGTGCTCAACTGTGTCTCTGTGTCACACTCTGGTCATTCTCACAGCATTTCAAACTTGTTCATAATGCTATTGCACACTTCACAGGCTAGCACAGTGTACACAGAACTTTCATGTGCACTGAGAAACCAAAAAATTCGTGTGGGTTGCTTTATTGCAACATTTGCTTTATTGCGGCGGTCTGGAATGGAACCTGCAATATTTCCAAGGTCTGCCGGTAAAACCTGTGTCAGGCAGAAACCTGTCAGAGAAGGAGTACTCAAGTATTTTCCACTAAAACGAGCAACAGAAAAGCGGTAAGGCTGCACCCTGACAAAGGCAGAAAATGTGTGAGACCTGGAACAACTAGGCAGTCCTGTCGAGTTCTAGCTCTTGCAGGTGTGGGACCTCCTCTGTAGGGATGCTGAACATTCGATGAGCCAACAGAAGCCAGAGCGTTTGAATGTGCTTGTTAAACGTTGACATCCAAGGGCCTGAACTCTGTCCTGGCCCCTTGACCATGGCCTGCCTTGGGCATCTCTTGCATTGCCATCCAGGGGTCCCTCTGAGTGGCAGACAGAGCCTGGCCTGGGAGCCGAGGGGCACGGTCTCCAGTACTGTCTCTGTCTCAGTCATCAGTTCTCTTCAGTCCATGCTGGCAGCAGGGCACTCCTGTGTTCCCAGCCCTGTGCTCAGCAAGGTAGCACAGGCCCCATGCACTATTTGCTCTTAATAAAGGCTGCTGATTAACTGCTGTGTTCATGAATGTGACCTGGTGGCTTGTGGGGAGCTCCACAAGCAGCTCCCAAAATGTGTTTCCTCTCCATTCCCCCGTAAGAAGTTCCCTTCTCCTGACACAAGCTGACAGACAGCTGACCTGCTTCTGAGCAGCTACAGAGGTGGTGAGCGGGCACCCCACGGGCCAGCGTGACCAGGCCCAGGCTCGGGTCAGTGCTGGCTGAGTTCATGCCCCTTCACGGAGACCAACACACGGGACGAGCTCAGTAGCCATGAGCTGTTCTTACTATTACGTGACAGAGATGGGTCAGAAATGCTCCGGTCCCCACCTGCCTCCTTTCTTCTGCCTTTTTCATCCAAAGATCCAGGGAGCCGGTGGGAGCGTAAGGCTGTGCTTAGGGTCAGCAGGGTGGCAGGGGCACATGCCAGTTCACCATCCCGTCCTGACAAGGGTGGGGCTAGGGCCACGCCTCTGGTGCCTACTGTGTCCCCAACTGCTGTGGCTTCCACGTGTCCCTCCAAATATGTCCTGAATCCTGGCCCCTGTAGCTGTGAATGTGGCCCTGTTTTGTTAATGAGGCCATACCAGGGTTGGGCAGGTTCTGAACCTCATCACTTCTGAACCATAAATGCAGAGACGCACTCAGAGGGAAGACGCCATGTGAGGACAGATACACGGCAGAGGCATCTACGTGCCCAGGGACGCCCAGGATGGCCGGCTGCAAGAAGCCGAGAAGCCAAGGCAGGCAAAAAAGGCCCTGCCCAGCAAGCCACGCCCTGAATTCTGACTTCTAGCCTCCTGAACTATGAGAAAATAAATTTCTGTTCCTCAAAGTCCCCCACATGTGGTATTTGTGCTACAGAAGCCCTGGGAGACTAAGGCACTAACTCTCTGGCCCCCACTCGCAGGGACCTTGGTGTTAGATTCCTCCAGAGACCAAGCTCGGGCAGGCCCTGACCAGTTCCCTGGCACCCTTAGACCAAACACAGCTGTGCATCAGAGCCCCGGCAGCTGCTGAAAGGTGCCCCTTGGGAAACCAGGAGTATGTTCCTGGTCGGTGGCTTGGCAGCCTGGGGCAGGGGTGTGGGTGGTCCACGGGAGCTGGACTCAGGGTCCAGCCTGGTCCCAGCCCAAGGGGCTGTTCCTGTGCACAGGTGGTCCCCGGGGCAGCCCGGCCCTCCCTGGCCTGCGAAGCCGACTTACCCAGGCCCAGGTTGGAGATGGTCTCCAGGTCTGTGAAGGTTTGAGCCTCGAGGATGGCCGGGGGTAGCCTCAGCGTGAAGGGCAATAAGTCTCTGTGGAGACATGAGGGGTTGGAGGTCATGCCTGGGGAGGGCCCATTCCTCCAGCTCCCATCACCCACAAACCCACAGTGTACGTGGAAGAGCAACCGCAGCTCTGCTGACTGGCTACCAGGGTTTCCAGGCAGATGGGTAACTTGTCTGGGGGCTGCGGGGCAGAGCCCTGGGGCTGAGGGAGCAGCTAGGGAGGGGCTTCACTGGGCATCTGGTCCCATCTTGGTGTGGGGACCTGCTTCAGGTGTGGGGGGTCACCGCTTTTGCCTGGCTTTCTTGGTCTGTGGGACAAACCCCAGGCCAGCTTCCTCCAAGGAAGCACTGAGTTAGTGACCAATCCCTTCACCACCCTGTGACCCGAGCTGCTCCACGCTGAAATGTGCCAGTGAGTACACAGTCAGACATCCCCTGGTGACTGTAGAGGCAGGCTTCACCCGGTAAGCACACAGTCAGGCTTCACCAGTGAGCATACAGACGGACATCCCCTGGGAAGCACAGTCAGGCTTCACCCAGTGACCATACAGTCAGACATCCCCTGGTGACTGCAGAGGCAGGCTTCCCCCAGTGAGCACACAGTTCATCCAGTGAACATACAGACATCCCCTGGGGAGTGCCCAGTCAGGCTTCACTCAGTGAGGATACAGTCAGATATCCCCTGGCAGTGCACAGTCAGACATCCTTTGGTGAGCGCACAGTCAGGCTTTACCCAGTGAGTACACAGTCAGACTTGACCCAGGTGCACACAGTCAGACTCCACCTGGTGAGTGCACAGTGAAGCAGCCAGCTCTGTCCGAATCCTTGGTCTGCATGGAAATTGTCCAGGGCTCTTGTCAGCAATCTCCTGGAAGGGTTCAGACACCCCACCCTCCTTACTACACGCACAGATGAGGAAACTGAGGCTGGAGAGGGAAAAGGCCGTGTGCAGGCTGCTGGTGGGTGAAGGGCAGAGTGTGCTCAGCCCCAGGCCTCCTGACTTCTAGGCCAGGGCTTGTTATCCAGGCCCAGAACCAAAACCAAACTCACTGCTGTCGAGTCGACTCAACTCACAGCTACCCCTCCTTGGGTTTCCGAGGTGGTATCACTACAGAAGTAGATTGCCCAATCTTCTTTCCGAGGAGTGGCTGGTGGGTTTGAACCACCAGCCTTCTGGTTAGCAGTCAAATGCCTTAGGCACTACGCCACCAGAGGGTCCCAATTCTATGCCTGGTCCTGGCATTCAAGGCCCAACAGGGCCTGACCCACTCTCCTTCCTTATCACCCCAGCTGCTCTATTGTCTGAACTGTGCAACAGGGTAATGGTCCCCCTTACGGGAGTGAAAGGATGCACGACGCTTGGAACCCTGTTGCTTCTCCACAGCCGGCAGCTGGCTGCCATTGTTATTAACAAAAATCTATTGGGCCCTCTACCGCTTAGGCTTGTCCCTGCTTCTCCGCAAACCCCGATTCCAATCACCGAGTGCCAGTCCATTCATCCTCCACCAAAAGGCCCTCTGTGATGGCCCTCAGCTGGAGCAGTCTCCTCCCCTGGGACCCTGGTGGCTTCTCTGTACCATGCCTGCAGCCCCTAGTCTTCTCTGTATTAGCACTGCACTGTAAGCCCTTCTGGGGGGGCAGCCGGACACCCCACAGTCTTAGCACACCCCAGAGACTCAGCGAGTATTTGCTGAATGGACTAATCCAAACGCAGGGAACTGAACTCAAGGACAGCTGGGCAGAGGCTGCCTGGGATGGGGCCAGCAGCGATTCCAGGACCTTCTCTGTGGCCCCAGGCTCCTCCATTGAGTGACTGGGCTTCCTGGGACCCCCCACACCCTTTGGGGAAGCACTTTCATGGGTGAGGGGCACTTCCATTTCAGGAGCGGCAGGATGGGGAGACTGTGGCAGAAGGTTCTAGATCATTTTGTAAGGTCCTGGGGTGCGGCTTCGGCCAGCTGCTGCTCCAGTCCCTGACGCTCCACCGTAAAATGGGGAGCAGGGCTTGGCCTATCTACGAACCTCCTTTCAGTCTCACAGTCGTGTGAACCCTCTGCAGACCCCAGACACTGGTGGCCTCCTTCTGCCCCTCCAGTTAGGCCAGCCTGGACCTCGGCTGGACAGGCTCTCAGCACTCACTCCCATCAGAAGCCCTGCACCACCACCACTACCCCAGCCTCTAATTGTGAAGGGATGAAATTCATCCCCACAACGGCTCCCTTCACCTAGCTGGCTGCCTAGCCTGCTGCCACTGGGATCCACAATTCCAGATTCCTCCATTGCTGTTTTTATCATAGTGACCGGTAGGGGGCGCTCAACTCACCTGGACCCCACCATCTCTCCCCGGGTACAATCTCCTGACAGCCCCTCATCCACTGCCTCACTCTGTGGATAATGCCCCAGCCTCGCGCCCTGGCCTGCAGGGTCTTCCCCTGTCTTGAGCCCACCTGCCTCTCCCCTACTTCTTCCCTCCCAGTGTCCTCCAAATGCCACGCTCACAATCCCTACTGTGAATATGCCCCATTCCGTCCCATCTCTGAGTTTGCATATAGGGAAGGCCCCACCTCCTCTCCACCTGTCTACTTAGATTACCCCCACAATGGACCTCCCCCCAGGGACCTCCTTCCCCATGACCCAGTCCTCCAAGACTTCATCCTTCCCTGTTTCCCCACATGCCATCCGTCAGCCCTTCAACCAGGGGCCAAGTCAAAGCACATACATGCTGTCGGCATCTGTTGCATACCTACTATGTGTCAGGCACTGGGTGAGGTGTTCTGATCACATCAATGGTCCCTGGTGATGCCTGACTACTAACCTAATGGTTGGGGGTCAGTCCCACCCAAAAGCACCACCAGAAAGGCCTATCAACCTGCTGCTGTAAAGATCACAGCCGAAGGAACCCTAGGGAGTGGTTACTCTCCGTAGCACAAGGGTCGCCATGAGTTGGAATCGACTCCACGGCTCCGGATTTAGGTTTTGGTTCTTATATCACATGATATTATGTTAGTATCATGATACCACATTGTTGTTGTTGTTGTTGTTGTTTGCCGTCGAGTCGGCCCCGACTCATAGCGACCCCTCCTTGGGTTTCCGAGGCAGTATCGCTACGGAAGTAGGATTGCCCAA